TCAATCTGTACCTCCTTTGCTTCCCCCAAGCGTCTGCGATTTGCTTGGGGAGGATGAAAAAAAAAAAAAAAATTGAGAAAAAAATCGCCAGAAAGTCAAATTGCTATTTTTTTCTTTTATTTGAAGAGAGATCTGGAACTTTGCATACCAGAGAACTACAAATATTCGTCACTTAGTATCCGTGCTCTCATTGGTCTCTTAGGCAAAAAAAAATTAAACAAAAACGATTTACAGTAGAACGGTTGCTCCCCTCCCGGGGATCATTGAAATACTGGACTGATACGTTGAGCTGATGTTTGGATGAAGAGAAATCGATTCTTAAAGGACATAATTAGTTTTATGCAGACCCTAACAAACCAGATAAGCTTGTGTCAATTTATAATCTATCGACTCGTAATCATTTGGTGAGAACTTTCCCCGCATATTCGTATTTACAGCTCATAAATCTTTTGCTATAAACCATGCCGCAATTCTCAGACGGTATAAATTCTGTTTTCAATTTTATTAACTGTCGACGAAGAAGTAGCAATTATTCTTCATTTTGAACAGTTATTTTCGTATCTGGTATTCTGGAAGAGGCTGATAGTACGGGCCTCCATATTCCACTATATACTTTTAATCAGTGGTTCCTAACCCTTTTTTTTTGTTTTTTCAGGGCCCGATATTTCGAAATTAAATTTTGCTCGCGCCTCACCAAATTTTATGTGATAAAAAGTACATTTAAAAATATAAAAATGCAGAGAGGGGATTAAAGGGAGATAACCGCGGATTTGAAGTCAGAACATTATCATTGATAACTCTCTCCTCCAATTTGCGGTCCCTAGTTATTATATTCTTAACACATCATATAATGCAAAAATGTCGCAATGATAAAATCAGTTAATAATTATTTCTAACTATTTATACTGGGAGTCATGCATGAAATTACAAGTAATCCATGATAATGTTTACAATTTTGAAATCATATTTATTTTTGGCATATGAATTTTTTTTTTAAACTGTTTCTAAATCTTTGATTTTCTTTTAAGCATACAGCATCACCTTCTATCCTCTTCTGCCGCATCGTTTGGGAACACTGCTTTAAATGAACAGTGGTGTTTGTTACGCCTAGTGGCGGCTTATTTCGATCTACGTTGTTGTAAAAAATCCACTTTTCATCGCTCAGAGTTTGCTTAAACATTAACCGTTTCTGTCTCATTTAAACAGTGAATCGCGCACGGAAGTCGCCTATCAATGCGTAACCAATTTAGTGTGCTTAGAGCAAATTCATGTTGAAACACCGTTTCTCGTACGATCACCGAATTAAAGCAACGTCGAGCCTGGTCACTATCTAGATTGGTGACTGCTTCGGAATAACAGATGCGGTAAGCTTCGATGTGTGGGTGGTTTAATAGATAACGGCTCAGAATTGGAAATCAGAGAGCCAAGTTCTAATTCCGGTCGAGTGCGTTATACTCATTTATCCGCAAATACCCTTGGGAAATGTATGAATCCACTTCTTCTCTCCCTCAGCTATGGGTTAATTAGTAGGACTTGTATCAGTAAACCGTTATTATCTCCAAAAATTCTTACAATCTGAAAATATTTGCTGGCTTTAAATACCCTGAAAAATGTTGATAAGCCATAAAAATTAAATCAATCAATAACCAATTAAGTGTATCAAACGGTATGCGATCATAGAATGGAATACTACATAGTATTTTTAAAAAAATGAAAACCAGTCCTTGTTACGGTTAGTTGTAGTTATTTAGCTTGCACCCCTCTCCCTTGCGTTCCACGTTGTTGAAAATTATCCACTTTTCATCGTCCGACACGATACAAAAGAAAAATAAAACGTTAGAACATTTCCGTTACCTTTCAGTCGCGTTTCATATATTGCAATGCAAAGGAGTAATGCTTTTCTTTACGTTTAACATATTTGGCAGCCATACACCAAAGCGATTAACATAACCAATTGATTTTCAACGCTGGATTGACATTTTGAAAATTTTGACTGTTTTCCGTGTCGCACAACATAATGTCTTCAGTTGATAGTTATTACACTCAACTGATATACCTGACCGTGGAGCATCATGAAACTTTACAAATCCCTTTTGGTACAGTCGATCATTTATAGTGCAATTCTAATAATTTTTTAGACTAGAGGCAACAGAAATGTGATTCTACTGAAGGATGCTGAGAATACAATGCGATGAACATATGACAACAACAAAACTTTAGAGAAAATGGAGAACAGAAGGGTCGGACGTGACGTCTGCATAAATAGCAAGTTAGGAACTGATGACATCGGGAAGGTCGTTGATGAACATCAGAAACAGCGTAGGTCCAATGATAGAACCCTGGGAAACACTTGAATTGATATGAAATGAACGACAAGCGTGGTTGTTTAACTCAGCCTTCATTACACGTTTGTTAGGAAAGATTAGATTATGAATAAATATTCCTCCCAGACACTGTAGCTCTTGAGCTCGAGTAGAAGACCTGCATGCCAAACCGTGTCGAACGCCCTTGGTATATCTAAAGCCACAGCCCCAGCTTGCCGTTCTTATCTAAATCTTGACAGACAAATTCAGCGACGCTCCGTAACACATCGGTGGTAGATGTAAATCATCATGACGGTCGTCTTTGAGTCTAGAATCCAGAGGTTAGCAGTGAATATTTCGAAGACAATAGGAAAGCGTTGTTCAGGTTAGCAGTGGATATATTAGTAAAAGTAGCAGAGCGTAGTTCGTTCTTCTGTTATCTCTTCGCCTGACAAGCTGGAACTGGACATTCGGGTAGAGTAAACAAAATGGCCGCCTTTATACACGACGGATTGAATATTCTACGTCTTCTGATTGGTTAACCTTCTATTGGTGGACTATAAAGTGAGTTAAGTCATTTGAGCTAACTCACTAGTTATATATATATATATATATATATATATATATACAAAAAACTGTAACAGTAGATCCGGACTAACACGGCGATAATTTGTTGGGTCAGAAGGTTTCCAGGAGTTCTTAAAGACAGGAACTACAGCGGAGGAGTTCCAACAAACTGTAAAGCAAGAAGTAGCTAGGTATTTATTGTAAAGTTTGGAGAGGTCAGGGAGTACACTATTTACATTCTTCGGACTATTGTCCTCATCTTTGTCGCCATATTTATTACAACGTTTCGGCCGTTGTACGCTCCAGCCTTCTTCAGTTGGTTGGAATGTCGAACTGAACCCTTTATTTCGCTCACTGGGGTAGATCGTTCTAGTTCCACGTGCCATGTCTAATGGATGTCAGCTATCAGTTATCTCCTGTTAATTCCCCTCTGCAAGTTCTCCACCGCTTTAACCATACTTTTTTGGTCATAATAAATTTCTAAAGTTTAAAAATGCTCAAAGGCAATATGACCTGGCTAGAAATTGACGCAGTTGTCCACCAGATATGCTTACAGGGTCACCTATCCATACGTGATATGGCACTGCAAGGCCGTCGATATTATGCGATTAATGACCAGAGCAGCTTCTCTAATCGCTACTAAGATTTCGGGCTACTTACTACGAATTGGGATGCAGCAACTAGAGAACTTTCAATCTGTTACCCTCCGTACGAAGAGACATAGCCTTATATCACCAACATTTCATGTCACCCATCCTTATTAAGGCCTCAGAAGAAGTAATCGGAAACCCCATCTTAGAAAGAAAACAAGGAATAAACCTCTACTTCTGTTCAAAGAGTAGAGAACCAAGCGATAGGCTAACAAGTCTACTCCTTACATTATTCGTGCTATTGTCCTCATCTTTGTCACCATATTTATCACAACGATTCGGCCGCTGTACGCTCCGGCCTACTTCAGGCGGTTGGAATGTCGAACTGAACCCTTTATTTCGCTCGCTGGGTTAGACTGTTCTAGTTCCCCGTGCCATGTCTAATGGATGTCAGATATCAGTTATCTCCTGTTAATTCTCCTCTCCAAGTTATCCACTGCCATAACCAGGTATTGAACTCACACACTTTGGGTCCTGTCACTGTATCTAACTAACGCCTTTATCCACTGTGCCATGTGTCCTTGAGACTCTTCCGCCTACTAAAAGATTAGTAGGAGAGAAGGCCTTGTGGGAACTGTCAAATTGATTAAGATGTTGTGGCCAATTAAATGGCTAAAGAAATGACAAAACAGGTGTTGCAGATATAACATATATTAAACAGTAAGTACAACAGAAGAGTATTACACGACTAGTGAGTGTCTGTCGGATGACCCAGGGTTCATTCTATTCTCCTACTAATCTTATAGTAGGCGGAAGAGTCCACTATAGACCCTTATTGGGAGGACACCACAACACTATCTATCTGTATCTCCTTCTATCTATCTCTCTGAATGAATATATATATATATATATATATATATATATATATATATATATATATATATCTTACTCTGTTCATATCTATCTGCTTGTGTCTGTCTGAGTATGTTCATATCAATCATTTGGGGGAATCTATTGTTTTGTAAAATGTCCCTTTTGTGTTCATATAATCTTTTATTTAGATCCCTTGAGCAACACATAATTTTGACATAAACATTGCTACTAGGGTCTTCTTTTGATTGCGTTTTCCACTGACATGATGTGAAGCGATTCTATTGAATCAGTTGCTAGATCTACTGCTAGGAAAGTTGGTTTAGTTTCGTGCCAGACAATTCTTCTCGTTAGAATCCATATTGCACATTTATAAATCTACCATTCGTCCGTGCATTGAATATGGCTGCCATATCGGGTCTGATGCTCCTAGAATATATCTTGGGATTCTTGACAGCAAACCGAAATGTAATCGAACCTGACCTGGAATATTAAATTTCAGTCGCTTTCTTCCCTCTGTCTTTTCTACAAATATTTGCATGGCAATTGCTATAACGAGCTTTCCCCCTTGATGCTTCGACTGCCAAATTTAAACGTCACTAGATATGTCCACACACACACATACACACACACATACACACACTCGCACATACACATATTCGGTGGGGAGGGGGTGAAGGATAAATTGTCTTCTAAATTACGCAATCTATCTATCTATCTATCTATCTATCTATCTCATACTTTTCGTTATCTATCTATCTATCTATCTATCTATCTATCTATCTCATACTGTTCGTTATCTGTCTATCTATCTATGTATCTATCTCATACTGTTCGTTATCTATCTATCTATCTATCTATCTATCTATCTATCTCATACTGTTCATTATCTATCTATCTATCTATCTCATACTGGTTGTTATCTATCTATCTATCTATCTATCTATCTCATACTTTTCGTTATCTATCTATCTATCTATCTATCTATCTATCCTTGCCCTTCTAAAGAAAAGCCTTGTCAATGCACTTAACCCAACGCTTCTCCATTCATCACCTTCATGGATCCTTATACTGTTAAATGTTCAGATCAAAATCTATCTAATTACTCTTTCAGATTGAAGACATCATTACTTGTTTCTATCTTTCTCCTTTTCACTTACTCTCCACCGATAGGCATGTGGAAGTAATTCGAGAACGAACCACATTTGAGCAAATGATGACGACCCACATTTGAGACATTCTATATTTATATAAGTAAAAAGAAAAAAAAAAGAAGCAAAATCTCATGCGTGTAAATATTAGATTATGGCTCCTATCTGAATTGATCTCCTTCGATTTTGTATCGAAATCCCATTTCCGCCTTTGAACGACAGTGAAATGGGTCGACAAAAGCCGCTTTTGTGCATCGTTCTACGCACACACCGTGTTCTGTGTTCTCACTGCTGCTTTTTAATCAGTTGAGGCAGCAGAGAAGCGAATCTAACCAAATGGCGACGAAATGGAGAAATATTACGACGAACAGAAGAGAAGAAGACGAAAAAGAAGAAAACGACGACGAGTAAGAAGACGAAGATGAAGTCGAAGAAGAAAAAGAAGATGAAGTCGAAGAAGAAAAAGAAGATGAAGTCGAAGAAGACGAAGAAGAAAGCATAAGGCGAAGAAGAAGAAAACGAAGTAGAAGAATTGACAGAGAAGAAAAACAATTTTTTTCTAACAAAACAATTTTTTTTCTACCACCTCTTCTTTTTTTTCTTTATTCAGTCTTCTTATCCTTCTTCCTCGTCTTCCTTTCTTCCTCTTCTTTACTCTCATCTTTTCCTCTCCCCTCTTTTTCTTTAACGCTTCTCCTTCTTCTTCTTATTCTTCTTCTTCTTCTTCTTATTCTCATTCTTCTTCTTCTTCTTCTTCTTCTTCTTCTTCAAACTCCTCCTTCTTTTCATCTTCCTCCTATTCTCCATTTTTCTTCTTCTTAAAGCAGGAATAGAAAAATGAAATGAAGAGCATTAAAATATTTATGTCGATTAAAATTTACAATAAGAGTCACAGTTGCTTCTTCTTCTTCTTCTTCTTCTTCCTCCTCCTCCTCCTCCTCTTCTTCCTCCTCCTCCTCTTCTTCTTCTTCTTCCTCCTCCTCCTCTTCTTCTTCTTCTTCCTCCTCCTCCTCCTCTTCTTCTTCTTCTTCTTCTTCATTCCCTTCCTCTTGTTATTTATTCAGTCTTAATTATTCCGATCAACGTCATTTTCTACATCTTTCTCTTCCTATTCTTCTTCATTTTGATTCGTTTCTTTTTTAATAATTCTTCTTCTTCTTTATTATTCCGACCATCATCATCATCATCATCATCCCTTTCTTATTTTCTTTCTTTATTCAAACTTCTTCCTCCACCTACTTCCTCTTTTTTTTTTACTCTCGTTTTCTTCTTTGAATACGACAGACAAGATGCTTTGATTTAGTTTTTTATACTATTTCTCATGCGTTCTAATATTTTTTTTGATTTAGTTTTTTATACTATTTCTCATGCGTTCTAATATTTTTTTCTTTTCAGATGAGTTATAAAAAAACTGTCTAAAAAGGCTAAAAATAATGGAAGCCTTATTAATAAAAGAAAAAAAGCCAACCCTTAATAATATCAACTATGAACATGGACACAATATCTTGACCGTGTTTTGAAAAAATGAAATCATTATATAAATACATACATGCAACAAACTATTTCTTATATAACAGTTAAAATATTTAATCCTTGAAAATGGCTAAATGTATAGCCGAAAGCGCTCGGATAAAAAGAACATTCGGACAGTTTTTATATAATTTTTTTTTCTTTTTTTTAAGCATTACGCCCCGAGCAAGGCGTGAAGCCACTAGGATGCAGGGGGTTGCAGAAGATTTGGAGCAAGAGCAGATAGGAGTGATAGAAGAAAGGATGAGGAGAAGTATAGTGGATAGAAGGTAACTGGAGATGTCGATTAACATTACATTTGAATAGTTGGAGATTATAGCTCTCAGGGAAACAGTAATTGGGAAGGGTGTTCCACAGGCGAGAGGTGCGAGGTATGAAGCTATTGGAGTAGAAGAGACGGCTACATTTCTAAGTTTCTACAGTGTAAGGGTGGGAGCGGGATGCCAGCCTCATAGGGCGCTTGAATTCAAGGAGTCTGGGAACCAGTGAAAGCAGCTCATCGGAGCAATTACCATGAAAGTATTTGTAGAAAAGACGGCGAGAGGCGACGGCGCGTCTGGGAGAGAGTGACTGTAGACGAGATGCCAGATCAGAGCCAATTATATTACATATCCGTCTCTGGATCTTGTCAAGAACTCCGAGGTAAACAGAAAGTGCACCAGACCATATATGGCAGCAATACTCCATGCAAGGGCAAATGGTTGATTTGTATATTTGAAGTATCGATTCCGGGGAGAAAAATTTCCTGGCGCGGCACAGAGAGCCAACTTTCCTCGCGGTGGAAGAAGCAATTTATCATCCGAAAAGAAAAAAAAATTATTAGATCGCATGAGAAATTGTATAAAAAACTAAATCAATGCACCTTGTCTGTCGTATTCAATGAAATGTGCATGAAAGAAGGAGTGCTGCCTAAATATATAGACACACACACAAATATATATATATATATATATGTGTGTGTGTGTGTGTGTGTGTGTATATATATGTGTGTGTGTGTGGGGGGTTGGTGTGTGTGTGTGTGTGTGTGTGTGTGTGACATTGGAAATATTAGAAAACTGAGAAATATCAGTAACTAGCTAGAAGACCGAGAAGACCAATACAGAATTTGGAAGACTTGCTGGCACTTGATCTCAATTGGAAACCATCAATTATTATTGGGGCACAATCAATCGCTACTTAAAAGTGCTGCAGTATTGAGGAGACTTGCTCTCACAGAATCACCAGTGGAAGCCGTTGGTGGGTACACTCATTGAGTGAGCTGCAACAATAATAAAGGTGGTAGTCGTACCTGTAATTATCTGAATGCAAGGATCTATGCAACAGAATTACAGAAAGGAGCAATAACAATAAGTGCATTACATAAGTGTAAACATACCACCGCTGACGGGCTAATATCTACCTCACGTGTCGTCTCAATTTTCCTCCGAGCCGCAGCAAAAACTAGGAACGGTCCGCTGCACGCTCACATTAATTGATATGTCTTCTCTGGGTTATCAACCCATTATCAGTTATTTAAAGCTAAAACATATTTTGGATTGTAACAATAATACATTTCTTAGGCGAGTGAATATCGCATTAACAATTTTTAGAGAATAGCAATGACTTTTTTTTTCTAGGTGCAAAACCTACTGTTTAATGCAAGGATATTAGCGCATAAGGAACACAACTGGAATTCCAACTCGGTTTTCCCACGTTTCATTTCCAGCAACATTACACCACCCGCACATCCACAACAAGAAAGAAGAATAAACGTTATGGTGAGAATTGAGGGCGCGAATTCACTTACCATTATATTGAATTGTTGAATTCTGAACTTCATTTGCACGGTCTTGGTAGGTAGGCATATTATACTGCCATATCAGACTAAAAGACCAGCTTTTCCATTAACTCGGTCTCTCATACCATCGCTTTCTCGATTTCAACATTACGACGCGCGGCTAGAAAATCGAATGCGCAGAATCTGGACTACTAATGGACAGACAGGCATTACTTTGAGGACAGCGTGTGTTCCGCTAAAGGCGGACCAGATAAAAAAGAGACGATTCAATCGCATCTGTAGCTGTTAACATAGGCCTGTGACCGGAAATCCTCACTGTCCGATTTTGTTGTCACTTGTTCCCTAATGTTTTCATTTAGTCTTTCATTCACTTTCAGGTGACTGCTTCAAAGACCGTATCCCATAGACTTTATTGCTGGCCATAAAACGCGAAACACTTGAAACTGAGATAGAATATCCCACTGTTCCTTTCTATGTGGATGTCACACCCAGGGTGTCACATAAGTTTTAAGAGACATAGAGGATCCCTAGACATTAAAAAAAGTAAGACAAAAAATAAAAAAAATAAAAATAAAAATAAAATAAAAAATGAAAGAAAATATATTTAATGCAATGCAATTTTATCGAACCACTTCGATCTCAAATCTTTATGCCGTGTCAGGGTGATCAAGGCTTTCCACAATTTCTTGCCATTTGTAGCAGTTTTTGTCTTGTTGCTATCTCTCCTAACTCCTGTTCTTCCAACCATTTACATAAGCTTGTCGGTTATTTTCTCCTTTTCTCTTTCCATCTTGCCTTCAATATGTCTTCTGGGTATCAAAATTTCCAAGCTGTCTTTCCTCATTATGTGCCTCAGAAATTTAAATTGTCCCTTTCTGATTCTACATATAAGGGTCCTTTTTGTTTCCATTTTCTCTAAAACTTTCTCGTTGTTCACATGTTCGGTCCATGCTATTCTGTTGAACCCACATTTCTGTTGCCTCACGTCTCTTCTTTATCTGTGAAATTCTTCAGCATTCACAACCATATAGGAGAACCGACATTGCATACTTCTAGTACTTTTTTTCTTTTTGTTTCTAACGAAATTATCCTGCTTACTTTGCTCAACTTTCAAAATGCATCTTACCAAAATCAATAATACTGAGGAGAGTGCTGGAATATTAAGGAGAATTTCTGTCACTTATTGTCCAGTTACAATTAGTACGAAAACTCAGTTTATATCTATAGAAAGAATTCAATAATTATTATCAGGCAACAATAATCGTCGTGATTATCCCGTCAGGTCGAAGAGGAAAGTCTATATTTCGTTCGTCTATTTCTGGAGTCTCAGGTGGCTTATGAAGGCAATTCTGGTTTTGAAAGTTCTTCCACATATTGGACAGGTAATTCCAGATGGCAGTTCAAGCTCGTATTTATGCCGCCTAACTTTCTCTCTTTTATCTAGTTTCTGCGAATCGCTTGCCTTCATACCTAACTTGGTAGTCGTATTATCGCATTAATATATATATATATATATATATTTATAATTATTTATTTAAAAATATGATT